AAAACAAAACTTCTGTAGCCTGTGTTTCACTTGCATAAGTCATGAAGAGGAATCGCAACTGATCAGATATTCCTTGGTAAAGGGAAACTTAGTCTATTTCCAGCAAACTAGGAAAAAATCTAATTGTCTATTTTCAGAAAAGCCATGCACAGAAGAAGTTGTATGACTGTAGTAATGCCGCTGCATCTTCTGGCAGCACACGTCGCGCACAGACTTGGCACGGAGGAAGCGCGAAGGAGAACAGCACAGGCGGTGGGGAGGCTCTGCGAGGCGCGAGCACGCAGGTGCCAAGCACACACAAGGACAAAAAAGTCTTTTAGCTTTCTAAAAATAAGAGCCTACTAGATAAGAAGCACAGTTAGCCAGACTGCAGCATGCCCTGTTTGAATTTTAACATTTCATTGAAGGGAAATTAATTACCAATATGTGGATATCTTGTAGGGAAACAGCATGAGGCAGAAGAAATGTGCATTTTTCCCAAGACATTCATCATTTTCAGTGAGCATGACCAGTATCCACTCTCTGCTTTGCTGACCATTAAAAAAAAGAATTTGATCTTAACAGTAGAGTAATGACAATTTTCAAGCATACACTGAATAGGACAGTAAGACATTGAATCTTTACACAATGGCCAAAAGTAGACAGTGTAATGTAACATTTACAGTCCATGTGTGGAGAAAAACCCTACAAAAAATCTTATAAATCTTTTCACACAGCAATCAGGCAGACATAACTCCACCAATATTCACATTCTAAGACAGAAAAGGCACCGTCCAACACGGTCCCTCAAGTCCCAGTTCCCACGCTGGCTTACTGCACCTTCTCTTCCTCCAAAGTGCACCCACAATGGACTCACCTTCCATTTCAGAACAAAACACCCATCCCTACTTTCCTTCAGAGCACTAAATTACTTCCCCAATGAAGTATATTTCATGTTCTTTTTAACTGAGTCATGCATACTCTGGATTTTTCTAAATTGTAGTTTGTGACACTCAAACAAGATACTACAAAATTTAACATGTTCCCCAAGCAAATGGTAAAAGCTGCTACAGCCAGAAAACCTTGTTTAGCCCTGCACTGTATGAAATTCACATAGTATCACAAAACATATGATAGAAATAATTTAATGAACAATTAGGTCTTTTTGTTAAATGCAATGTTAACTATTTACTATAACAAATTTATTTGAGTACATGCAATTCCAAGGCCAATAGTCCCAAAATGGCTTTACCTGAAAGAAGCAGGCATGAAGAGGAAAGTGAACTGAAATTTGTTTTCCATCAGTACTGAACATGACAGAAAAGCTCCCTCCACCCTACTTTAGTGGAATTCAACAGAGCACTGAAACCAATACTGAAATTTTCATGCTTTCCAAGATATTTCACATCAAATGCTTTTATGACCTCTCCAACTATTAAATGTCAAGAAATCCTTAGACAGTTCCTTTCCTCCTTCAAATCCCTGGAAAGGGCCTAGAAAAGAGTCCCTGGGGAAAAACAAAAAACGGTTTTTTTTTCCCCTCCATCGTTGAGTGAGAGCTTTGTGATAAGGGCCACAAGTGTTTTGACAACATCATAATCTACACACAATTTTGCTGTGTGCCTGCATACACTACCAAGTTGAGCAATAGGTAAACAGTTTTTAGCTGTTCAAAATTAGTTCACTTAAAAACCCCAAATCAGCCATCTGAAGAGCCAGCTGTGCAGCAACTCACAAAAAAAAAATCTGTACCAGAAAACATCGTACATGCAAAAGACAAAAAAATAATCTAAGCAAAATGAACTGTTTGCTTTGTGGAAAATTCTCATCTACCAAGCTTATTTTAAGCCCTGAGCATCCATGCAGTGGAACAAGAACCATAAACCAAAATATTCTCCCCTAAAAGCATGTCAAAATGTTATACAACCATAAATGTTGATTTTATTTAATTTTCTGAACAAACCTATCAACACTACAAGAATCAGAAAAGCAGTTCTTTACCCTGCTTTCATGAGTAACACTGAAACATTTCACTTGTTCATCATCTTGCCTGATGCAGCAGATGAGGATTTTTTGGGGCTTTTTGCTGGTTTTAATTGAAGAGAGTTTTTGTTGAAGGAGATTTTGGGCTTAAGGCAAGGAAAGCCTCCACACCGGGGAGAGTCCCAGGCTGTCCCCAGCCAAGGCAGGGCACAGGTCAGGGAACTCAGGGTGACACCAGAGCTGGCTCACAGGCAGCTCCTCAGCACACCCTGTACCAGGGTGAACTGCCTGCATATCTGCAGATCACCACCAGTGCCATCTCAAATCCTCGAAGATTTTCTAACTTCTGCTTCTCTTTTCACAGGAGAGGCCCTGGGGCCTCCAAAGCAGCAGCAGAGCTCCTCTTGTCCCTTCTCCTGCTCTTTGCCTCAAGGCAGCTCCATCATTCAGACCTGGGGTGAGCAGGGCGCTCTGTGAACACTGGCTGCCAAGGGATTCACGGGTTTGGAGATAAGCAGGTTCTTGATTACTTTTTTTTTTTTTTGCTAAACTGGGGATGATCTGTACAGCAGCTTAAGTCACAGCAACTTTTCACTGATGCCTTGTGACTTACCTCAACAAGCTCTTTAAGCACAAGGACAGCGAGCTGTAGCTATCACAGCTACATAACACTGAAAGAACAGGGTCATTTACTTCTACAAAGAATTTTAAGAACATTTTTAGAAAGAATAGCCATTTGTGGGTTTCCTGAGATAGAACAGACTTTCTGCTCCTCCAAACATCTTTCTCCCCACCCACTACAGCAGAGAATTCCGTTGTAGTACCTTGGTTTTTGAAACCTGTAACACAGATTTCTAGATGGGCTCTCACTACCACCTGCCTACAGCAGCATTAGTACTCCCCAAGATTTAACAGAAATGTTTTCTCAGCTACATCTCAAACCAGAGTTAATTTTTCCATGGCTGTATTATATTTGTGGCTCACAGCACTCCCTGTTCCTCCCCAGCATTTCCCACTGCTGAGCTCCCAGCTGATAGCAGAAAGCTCGTGTCACGAGTCCCTAAAAATATAACATTGCTCAGTGGCAATGTTAAGTCCCATCATATTTCTGTTACTCCACTTCTTCCTTTATCACATCCCAACCCTCCTAGGGTACTAAGAATGCCTCCCAAACTGGCGTTACCAAAAGTGTTTGTATATCCAAACCATATTGCTGGACCTTGCCTAGTTGAAACCAGTTACAAAGACATTGCTTCAAAAATTACTACTTTTGTTAATTTCTCTTTGAAATTCTTCCAGCTGCACTGTATTTTCTAAATGGGTATATCCTGTATGGGCCAAAATTACTTTCTTTCACTGAAAAATGAAGAGGGAGATTACTTTAGCTTTGAAATCTGCTTAGTGTTGCTGGAGCAGTTCAGCCAAACCTACTGAATGACCACAAAAGAGAAGCCCTGTAGTCAAGGCACTACACTTCCACAAACCCACCACACTCAGGCTGCCCTTGAGCTGTGCTCCCGAAGAACACAGCTGTGCACCTCCCTGGGAAACGGTACAAAAATCAGCAAAAGACAACTTGGAAAGTCTGGGTACATCAGGGAAAGCACAGCCTACCAGCCAACACAGCTTTAAAAATAGTTTCTTTTCAGATAGATGACTCAAAGTTTAGGTAGCTGAAACCCCAATAGGTCTTACCATGCAAATCAAACCCTGTACACCATCAGCTGGGAGGTGGCTCCTGGGAGTCAGGAGTTTTCTACTAAAAGCAGCAAAACCAAAAACACACAGCTGTGGTCACAAGTACATGTGAAAAAACAAAGAGATGAAAGTACATTTAGCTAACGCTTCAACTTGGAGTCGCCAGGGCTACCTCCACATAGTAGTGTGTGCTCACTGCCAAGGGTAGAGACTTAGTTACCCTGCCTGAAGATAAGGCTCCTTGGAAAGTTGTTCCTTGGAAACATACGTGCATCCACCCCTTTCACTGCTGACAAAAACATGAACTTCAACCAGTGTACATTGACCAGTGATATAGATCACTGTGTCTTTCTCTTACACAACCAGAAGGCAAGGTACTTCCTGATGCAATAGCTGCAGAGACCTCATTAGGATCCCATCCTCAGGATCCCACTGCCAGGCAGAAGGGCTCACAGCGCCTTCAACACACACAGCTCCTTTGCCTGCAGTGAACGCACGGGAATGGGCAAACATTGGCACTTAAACACTTCCAAACTCATAACTCCGTGAGGAGACGCTTAGCTTCCATGCAGTTAAGCCCTACTATTAAGCCTGAAGCTGATAAAATTTTGCATGTAAAAACCTGACTTAGTTTCTTTCAGGTAAACAAAAGTGACATTGAGGAAGAACTGCTGCCTTATGCCAACATAATCAGCTCATATCCAGTCATGAACCCACCAAAAATAAACATTTTAGAAAATGTGTTTGAGCCTCCAGCAATAGTTTTGTTCCTTTTTATCTATAACGTTTCTGGGGTAGCGGGGGAAAGAAGAATGCAGGAAGACTATTTCTGAATAGACATAAGGTGCGAATAAACATAAGAAAGATGCGATCCCATTAATATATTCAGTTCTTCCCAGATCCCTCCCCCTCCTTTCCAGCGCAGAGACTGAAGAAAACGCATCTGCCCCGGCAGAAAGCTCGGTCATTCGGCTCCCTCCAATTCCGTAATCCTGGCTTCCCTTCTCCTCCAGTGGCACCCCGCTGCGCCCACCCGCCGGGGGCTGCCTGTCCCCGCACCGGGCCAGCGGGGTCAGCGGAGCCCGGCCTGCGGGGGACGGCGCATCCCGGCGGCCAAACGCTCCGCACCGCCCGGCGGGAGCCGCCCTCGGGGGGATGCTCCAGCAGCCCCTCCGGAGGATGCTTTATCCTCTAAAGTCGCTCCCTCCCTGCGGCTCCCACCGGCGCGGCGACCCCTCCTCCTCGCCCCCTCCTCGGGGGGAGCAGACATTTTGAGGCAGCGCATCCCGAACGCCGCCGAGCCGCAGCGGTGCGGGCGAGGCCTCCGGGGCGCCGCTCACCTGCCAGCTCGTCGGGCTCCAGCCCGCTCTCCGCGTCGATGCCGCACAGCACGAAGTAGTGGGCGAAGCGGCAGGGCGCCGCGCCGGGCCCGGGGTTGCCGCTCCCGCTCATCCCGCCGGCGCTCCCGGCGGCTCCCGGCGGNCACTGAGCGGGCGGCAGCGGGCGGCCCCGCTGGCAGCTGAGCGGGGCGGGGACGGGCGGGACACACCGCGCTGCCCGACCGCCCCCGCGGGGCATTTAAACCCTGCGCGGCCGCCCCCGCCCCGCGCCTGGGCCGAGCGTTCCCGGCGTGTCGGGAGAGCCGCCGGCGCCTTTGTCACCCGTTGTGTCCGCGATCCTCGGCATACGCGGTTAAAGCCTAAAGCTCCCCCGCGTGTGAGCAGGAGAGGTTGGCTTTATTTAAATAAAGCTGGAGACGGTGCCACTTCCTATCGGGAATGTCTCTTCCCCCCCGCCCCAGGAGGGAGCTCCCGGAGCCCCGCTGCCGGAACGGGCCGAGCCCCGCCCGGCGCCCGGGCTGCGCTGAGCGCTTCCTGCGGGAATCCTGCCGTGGGAAACGGCTTCTTCTCCTCCCCACCCCATTGTGGAAGCAACGGCCACCACCCGCGGCGGATGGCTTTGTGCGGTCTCCATCCCCGCGCTGTGATGGATGGCACCCGTACCACGTTACGGGAGAGCTATTTCTTGGCTACTCGCACTCCGCTTCATGGCAAAAATCTAAAATGTTGCTTCGTTCGTAGTTTACTTAAGATTTACTAGCCATTCTGCTGCGTCCAGAAATAAGTCAGCATTATTTTACCCCAGCTGCTAGAATCCTTCTCCTTAGGATCGTCCGATGCCAAAATACTGGCAGCTCTGTCCGCGAGCGGCACCTACTTTTAAAGGGGCAGAGATGATTCTTTTGAAGTTGTAACTTTTTCTTCTCCAAAGTGATAGGATCCCCCTCTATGTCGATAATTCTGACATCTGGATATCATAATGATATCATATCATTCAGTGTATTCCAGTATTCTGGATATCATATCATTCAGTATTTTCACTTTTATCCTTTTGTTTCATCTGTTTTTTACTCTTGGTCCATGCAACCTGTAATAATTACACTCATTATTTTCTTACTGTAGACTCCCATGACCCCTTTATTTTACTTCTTAGCAGTGTGAATCACATATTTTCTTTTTATGGTTTACATTTGTCCTTGTTCAACAAGTGCCTTTGATAAGAAAATGCCTACAGGGAAACTGATAACCCGTCTACCTTGTGTCATTTTATGGAGGCACATGGAGTAACTGTCTGACCTGGAAGCCACCTAGGTCAGCATCTCTCTCTCTCTCTCTCTTTATCCCATCAAATTAACAAATTTTATTCCCATTTGTTTCTTAGCTTCCTCTAGTGTTCTAGTGAAAGGAGACAATAGCTAAACTATTTTTTTCCTTTCCCAATAATCCCAATCTCCAATTAAAAAAAAATTAAATTAAAAAAAAGACAAATAGTCTCTCACAATCCCCAGTTCTTGTAGCTGCAGCACTCAGTAACTACCTGAACATTTCTGGAGCTGCAGAGAAATTTCCCTGAGACCAGTAAATTTCTCGACTTTGCACCAGAGCTAGATTGTTTTATTTAGTTTGGTTTGTTTATTAACTTGTATGTCTTTGCTTATTCAGCTTTAGGTCAGACGGTAAGAGTTTGACAAGTCAGTCTCTAACTCTCATTCAAAACCAAGTGCTTATATTGTAGGTATGTTTCTTTTTGAGGCCCAATGGCATGGATGTCTCCAGGAAGTCCAAGACAGAGGCTTCATCAGCCTCTCTAAAGGATGCATGAGTTAAGGCTGCTTCTAAAAATAACCCAAAAACTAACGCAATGGTTCTGACCTTTTTACCTTAAGTAAAAACCAGCTGCTAGCTGGTTCTAGATTGCTTTGGTTTAGCTGTCTTCTGTACAGGGCATTTTTTTCTTGAATAAAGTTCAGTGCATAGACACCTCAATCTCAGTAAAATCAGTACTGCATATAACATTAAACAAGAGGAAAAAGCACAACACATGGGATTGAAGGTGTAAAATTAATAAACTCATTCTTTCTGGGTTAGCTGAGAGGTTGAGCTCCCACTTCTATACGTCCAGCTGCCGCAGACATTTTTTTGTGGGGGAATTTTGTGGGGGCACTGACTTGTTCTCCTGAGGCAACTGATCTTCTGGGCACAAAAGTAATCCTAATGAGGCCACTCAGATCTTTTCCCAAGCAGTGCCAGCAGACCCAACTTGCCTGGGCTCTGGTAAGCCATGTGATGTCCTCAGGCCTGGATTTTCTCACCTAAACCCCTCCACCTAAGTTGTTCTAATATTTCCCTCCAAGCTGATCTAGCTTTAGATACTGCATGCAGCCTTTGGGTGACTCTTTGTCACTCTCATGGGTTTTTTCCCACCTCCGTCCTGGCTCTCATCCCAAGGAAACTGGAACTTTTATTACATTTTAGCAGAACCTAGGCATTTTGGTTGTCCTTTCACAATCCAAAACCACCCTGTGCTGATCACCAGTGCCTCCTTAAAAAGGCTGCCCTGCTTTCAATACTACTGCTCTACTTGTAACATCGAGTGCTTAAATTTTACAGAAGTCACAGCAGGTCCACAAAGGTGCTGTGGAGCTTCTTGGAGCTGTGGAGCAAGAGTGAAAGGAAAACAAAAGATGAGGCCTAAAAGCATCACAAAGTGCTGCACATGCTAACTAATCAGGCAAATGCCATGAGAAAACATTTGTACAGCCTGGGAAGCAGCAGTGCCTGATAGGATTGTGCCCTGAGACATATCTAGGATGATCAGAGATAACTGGCTGGGATTATGAGTATTTTTTCCTTTCACCAACAAAAAGTGTTGAAGTTCCACAAGGGATTTGAATAGGATGGGTGTCCTCTAATCAAATTATATTGACAATAACCCCAGGGAGATGATGTTTGTCCCTGGCACAGCAGAGCACAAAGCAGTGTCAGAACTTCTGTGTTGCTCCAGGGAACAGGGATAAGGTGGGACTGAGGATTTCAGACTAGGACAGGCACAAAAAACTTACTGGCGTAGACCAGATCTGCCTGTGACCTTTCACTTTGGTCTGTTCTCCCGTGACAGCAGCTTTGTTCCTTCACCAGCTGTATTGCCATCTGTACAACAAAGAAAGGGAAGGTTTTTGGCTTGGCAGATTTGTTCTTCTTCCTTAGGTACTTGTGTCTCTAGTTGCCATGAGTATTTCTCTCAATTCAATTTGGTTCAGGTTTCCCTCTCAGTAACATCTCAGTGAGTTTTTGCTCCTCAGAACCTGTTAGTTTGAACTGGGTCAAATGCTAACAAGCGTGTCAGCTCCCCCTGCCCTTAGGATCTGCCATAAAAGATCAGACCATCAAGCTCTTTGTCCTACTTCTCCAAGAAGCCAATGCCCAATGCTTCAGAGAGGTGGAAAAACCTGCTATTTAAAGGTTACATCCCTTCCCCTTGCTGTGACACTGTTGCTTCACTTTCTATTTTCTTCATCGTTCTTCCATGAATTGGAAATCATGCTGCTGTGATGGATTGCTCACTCCTCCACACAGCTCCACAGTTCCCTCTCTAAGATCTTTCACAAGCTGCCAAGTCACATTGATTTTCCATTGAAAGCCTCTCCTGTTTTGCTCTTATATCTATGGGGTCATGAGATCCTGTAGGATGGAAGGAAGGAAAACCACTCAGATGCAACACGAATGTTGGTAATGCTCAGGATATTTCAACCCCTGACTGACTTTCAGTGGAGCAGTGTTGTCAACTCCTTCATGAGGAGCTGGATGTGAGTAGTCATGGGATTAGGATGGGTTAAGGATGGACTGGAAGACTGAAATCCAAGTCATTCTTGCACAAAGTGCAGAAGAGTCTGTAGCAGAAGTTGGGGGAAAAAAAGAAAACAACAGCAGAAGATTTTATAAAGATGTTCATAAAGAATGCAATTTTCATTCTCTGAGCTTATGCAAGAAGACTGCTTAGAGCATGGGAGAAGTGTTGGCTGCCGTAGGGTCTAAACCCAAATAAACCATAAGGCACAAAGCAAAGAACACTTCCTTCAGCCCAATCCATCATTGCTTGGAAAGCAAATACTCCAGGCACATATTCTAATATCTTATCAAATTATAATACTATTAAAGCAAGTAGCTCACCTTCTATAACTGCCTCATATCTATACAGACTAAACTTAAATAAAAGCACATGGTTTTCCTCTGCCACATTGTGTAATTATTATTCATCCAGCAGACCTACAGATAAAGTAAAACATGATTACTTTCCGGAATCTCTGCCATAGAACTCTGAAGCTCCAGTGATTTAAAATTTGAAGGTTTTAAATCTTTAATTCCCTATTGTAGCCCATTGCATTTTATTAATTTTATGTGCATTCATCATAGGCATGCCCTTGCATTGCAAACACATATAGATGCATTTAGATGCATTCCACTGTTATCTGCTTTCTGAGAATCCTTGAGGGAGAGGTTTCATGAGGCAACTGAAATTATGCAATAGTTTATTTCACCTTCTTCCCCCTCCTTCCTGGGACTGGCTCTGTGCTCCCACTGCTTCCTTCACAAACAAATCTGTAGCCTTGTCTGCCTCTCCTGAGTGCATCCAGTTCACCATCAGCAAACAGATCCCAAAACACAGGCAGGGGTGGAACAGTGTTGTCCGTTTTCATTCACATCACCATCATGCTGCAAGCCAGGCTTCTCAGCATGCAGCTCAGCCCTCTGCTGAGGAGGCAGCTCTGCTTCAGGGCTGGCCTCTCTGGCCATTCTAACCTCCCCCCATCCTGAATTGGCCTCCTCAATGGTTTTGTTTTGGAGGGAGGAAGTGACAGCAACCCCCCGCCCCCCCAAGCAGATAGGGCACACAGAGGTCAGACTTCACACACCGCCTCAGAAACCACTCCTAGGCAAGTCCTGCGGTTGCCAAGCCTGGTTTCTGGAGGTTTGTGTCCTTCACCACCCAGCTTTTTCCTTTCCATGTGTTCAGTGGCATTGTATGGCAAAAATCTGTGGTGATTCCTGCCATTTTCCTCCACTTCTGCCTGTAATTCTACACTGAGCTTGTGAGATGCACCTTCTCCTGCAAAGCAGGT